CCCCCCCCCCCCCCCCCCCCTCCTGCATTCTTCATCACTAATATACATTTTTTTAAACAACTACAAAGCAACAAACTATATTTTATGGGACAAACTGTTGGTCAGTCGGGAGGAGGAGAAAAAAAACAACTTCCGGGACCGGGATCGAACAGCTCATAAAATAATTGCATGACTTTAAACGCAGACGCGCTGTCCATTCAGCCATCAGAACATCCAACACCGACAGGTAGATTTAAAAGCTTGATATAAATACATAGACACTTCCATCTTTGGTGCCATGCGGTTGGCTACACTTAGATGTGGTCATGTGATCGGAGGGGTATCCTGGTCTGGCGTCAAACAAGAGGGCCGCCTTACCTAAAAATAGTTTGCATTGTTCTACGTTTAATCGCATGTCATTCATTGCACAAAACCGACAGCTGTGGCCTCTTCCAAACACCTCTTCCCCCAGCAAACCGAGAGTGCGAGATCACTACACGCAGTCTCATTGGTCGACATAATTAACTTTGCCCCCGGCAAGGTCAGCTGAACTTAATCGTTCTGTTCTAATGATGCAGGGAGGGCCAGTTTAGATAGATCTAGTAACTGGATATTAAAGCTCACGTCTCAACTGTTATCATTATAATCGAAAAAATGTTCGTAAATGCTGGAAATATTTACGAACAAGGGTCGGAAGTCGGAACGGACATCATGCTGGACTCAATTCAGAGTCTGAATATAATTTTTGTCTATTCGGACTCACTTCGATGGTAGAATAAAGCACTTTGATCAGCTGATCGTGGATAGGCAAATACTGGGTTGGCTGGCTGGCGTGCCTCGCGTAACGCACAGATGACTTCACAAACTGACTTGGCCTCATCTCATTCATAAAAATTAGAGTCATATTAGTGAGGGTCAGTCAGAAGGGCTCATCATGCAAGGGATCTTAGTAGATCCAGATATCTATTTTTAAAACTTAACTCTTGTCCAGGGTCTGTGCTGAGATGCGAATCTTATCAGCAACCGATAACGTCAGACGTTCCGGGCAGGCTGTCGGGGTCACTCAGTGTGTACTGTTGGTGTACAGCGCGCGCGCCTGGTAATGTGTGTTTTCACCATGAATACCGTGGGAGTGTGTTAATCGATGATGAAAATAACGCTATATCTTTCATAGCTTTCTATTTCGAAGTGTTACAAACACATGAATAACCCCCTCTCATAAGCTGAAGACATTACGAGTAGTTACACAAATTCAAATGCCTTTCTAGACGCTCTTGTTGTTATGAATGACCTGGGGTTCGAAAGGGGATATTATAATATAGGTCAATTTCCGAATGTTTTGCACTCAAATTGTTCTTTGTACCTGCACAATGGTGTTCAAAATTATCAAACAAGCTTATTTTTTTTATCAGGTATCATTTCATACAAAATCAAGTTCATTTGAAAGATTTTGTTCAGAAAATTGAAAGTCTTGTCTGACTATCATTTCGAGCTCCTCATCATGTCTAAAGAGGGATAATTTCATTTGAGGAACATCTAGAGCTACCAACTTGGCGTGTTTTGAATGAGACGTATGCCTCAGTTATGAACCAACGTAGGCGGTTCTAGAAGAAGGTCATAAACGCACACAAACTCAAGCAGACTGACGAACACACACTTGAAATGCGTGAATCTAGATCCAACGCGGGACCCGAATTGAACGGGAGATGATGCTCGAAGCGTGTGCGCTGGGCCAGGGGCAAGACTGACGCGGGACCAGAACTCAGAACGCAGGCGAGGTGCCGAAATAGGCTTATCAGGCGACATAAACCCAGCCCCCGCAGGACGAGGGTTAAGCAATCACCTGGAAAATATTATTTTATAATCACTAGATCTAGACTAGATTCTAGACTGCTATAGTCTGGACTGTAATTTTCCAATAGACTGAGACATAGAGTTGACAAAGACCAATGAATGAAACAATTTGCCTTTGACTTTGGTAAGATTGAAGAATACCGGACCAGCGGACTGACTTTGCCTATGTCTCAACCTTAGGAATTCATAATTTTCCCGTTTTTAATATCTCTCAATGGAGAATCTCGGACCGGTAGATCTATTCATGATTAAAATTTTGTCAGGGGGGGGAGACCCCCCTGAACCCCCCTCCTCCACCCCAACCACCCGCCCCACCTACCCCACTTTCTCGAGCAATAATGTACGAGTGGTCCGGTATTTTTCAATCTTCCCAACAATTTCACCACCACACAACATCAATAATAATAACAGATCTAGATCTAGATTCTAGATCTAGATCTAGATCTAATCTAGATTTCTAATAATAAAGTCGGATATCGTCATCACCATCACCTGCTGTCGAGTGACTAACACACAGCAGAGCAGAGAGAGTGAACCTCTCTCTATCCGACCGCCACCATCATAAAACAACAACAAAAGGCAATGTACTCACTCCTCTGAGATAACGATATGAGAAAAACAGACATGGGCTTTTGAGAAGACCACCAATTCTCTGTATGCGTAAAGGCTGATTTCAATGACACCAGCACTTCTATGGTTATTTATTCGGTAAGATCTATATTACACGAATGGCATTATCCGACCAGGAAATCTTCTAACTATACACCAAATGTGTACTATGTCACTTCCTGCTTTTGTTGGATGAGTCATGCACTTTCGCTTTCAGTCAGATATTAACTTTTTTCTAACAGTATCAATCTCATCTAGTAATTAGTTAGATCTATCTGTTTTGATTTTGGTTTTCATTTGAACATGAAGCAAAACAATCCAATGAGTGGGAGGGGGGGTCCCTTTAATCAAATGGGCCTCTCTTATTTCTCAATAGGTTTATTTCGCTTCTTTGATCACAGTGATCATCATTGTTTTTAATGTAACCAGATATACCCCTGACGTCACAATTTGTTTATGCTCGCGTTTCTTCTCTCTCTCTGGTCTCTCAGTCTCTCATTCACTGGCAAGCAAGATGCTGCAGCGGTCAATTTTACGTCTGCTACGAAGCGGCATATCTCAGACCAATCACTCTCGGAGCAAGGCTTTGCCTGTATTGGCCAACGTATGTTTTCTTTTTTTCGAAACGGGATGGATTGCTCTTTTTTGCTTCTTTTATTTCATGCAGTTCTTTCCCGTGTGACCTTCCCACGGCCCACTGGCACTGGTGGAGCTGTTACACGAGGAATGCATTTTAAATTGTCATGATTTCATTTAAGAGGCCTAATCTGCTTGTGTGCCAATTTTATTATTTTTATTTTATTCTGCATCAAGATGAAGCTTGGACATTCTTCCATTCCAGATCTAGACTCTAGATCTATCTGCACTTGTATAGACTACCCATTTGCATCCCTCTCTTGGGGTAAAGGAGGGGGGGGGAGACGCCCCTCCTGAGCCTGAGGAAAAATTTAATCTGTGGGGCCACACTATTCTTAGAGTTCGGGGGAGGGGAGGGAAGATTGAAGAATACCGGACTACTCGTACATTATTGCGCGAGAAAGTGAGGGGGGGTCCAGGGGGGTCTCCACCCTGATAAAATTTTAATGAATAGATCTACCGGTCCGAGATTCTCCATTGAGAGATATTGAAAACGGGAAAATTATGAATTCCTAAGGTTGAGACATAGGCAAAGTCAGTCCGCTGGTGCGGTATTCTTCAATCTTACCGGGGGGATTTTTCCCTTTGGTAGACTATTGTGTTAATTGCGACAGAGTGACGCTGTGACAGCTAACGCGGTGCCATTGTCACTCATTGTGACAGTGAACATGGACCTCTTTTTTTTTTTTTTCGTCTTTTGTGTGATTAGATCTACTAGATTTGGTGCTTTTTGGGTAGGCTAGTTCCCACCCCCCTTTTGAGCCTAGATCTACAGCTAGATCTAGATCTAGATCTATATGTTTGATGTGCGGTGAGCTAAGATATCAAACCTAACAACTGCAAAACTTCAAATTATGGTAAAATTCAGGGGGGCATATCGCCCGCCCCCTGAAACCCCCCGCCATATTTTTTATTTGAAGTGGCTAAATCTATGGCTCCTGTACACATAGCCTCATGGCTATGTGTACGGCCCTCCACTTCCATTAGGTCTCAATATTCTGCTACCGCCATTTCCTCTGCTAAACTCCGCTACCGTTGCAACGGGCCATTCAGAAAGAGAGTTGCTGGGAGAAAGGTGACTGCCAGGCCCCGGGAAATAGAAGAAACTAGCTGGGCCCCCTCTCGATGAAAGGAATGATCAGCGGTGCCTATACGTTCTTGTACTAACCGTTCTCTGACTATCTAGGGCGGTGCTTTAATATCAACTGAAAGTCATTGGCCTTCTATATTTACACTCTAATGGAATGGGGCAATAAATCTTGAGAGATGCAAGAAATTATAAGGTCTAGATCTATACTCTCAAAACAAAACGCACCTCGCGAAAATATCACTTCCGGACTTTCTAAAATTACAGAGACAGAAGCGTCGGCCTACAAAAGCGATCGCCGAAATACAGAAATTTAACTTTTTGCAGCAAAACTGTCTCGAAACTGAAAAAACAAAGGGCACCTTGCTCTGGAGAATTTTTTAAAGAATCTTTTGGAGAAAACCGCATGTCGATCGATGCAGCCATTAAAAAGCCTTTTGAATAGCAAAATTCGGCCACCACAAATAGATAATAGAAATCGCAGAGACCCGGGGAAAATACATGATATCGAATATTTGAAAACCAAACCCGATAACGTCTTTAAGTTAATTTTTGCCGGTCGCGATTGCGATATTAATTCGGCTTTTCCCGGTTTGAGAGTACGTTTCAAGCTAATAGGTGGCTATGGCGGCAAGTGGAATTGTATGTGTCACCGAGGCTTGACAGGAAAATCAAGTTCTGCTTTAGGTACCACCCAAAAACTTGTCAGTCTTAGTCTGATAATGCAACATTTGTAACATGTAGGTTCTTCATTACAAACGTGGTGTCGCCATGAAAATAAATCAATATTCGTCACTGTGCTGTCACTTGTAGGGGAAAAAAAAAAAGAAAAGAAAGTTATAAATGGAAGCGTCTTGTAAGGCTCGCCAGTGTGACCGGTCAGTGAACCTGCGCGCGTTCTGAGCGTTGTGAATACAGGACTCCGGAATGAGGGGATATTATTGATTTTTTTTTTTCAAAGTACACTCGGGGATGGGGGAGGGCTGGACGCTACACCAGAGGACAAACAAACTGAATTTGGAAGCAAATTTTTTATATATTTAGAATTTTGATCACTACTACAGCTCTCTGCAAAGTAAAGTGTGCGTTGGTGCAGGCCTTGTGTGAAATCGGGAACCGTCATAACCTGTAAACGTGTTATTATTATAGTTATTGAACTTAGGGGCCTAAGTCAAGTGTTTGCGTTTCATTGAATGGGTGACAGTAAATTATATCTCTATTATATTTTAGCTTTCTGTTCAAGATTCGCAGATTTTCAGTGTCGCTGCATCTTACCCTCCCACAGTTCTTACACCTCGCACACTGAATAGGTTTACTGGAGCTATTCAAGTTATATTACTCTACTTTGAGTTTTAGCATTAATTTTTGTTTGTCACGTATAATAATTATTATATTGATATGAATCATGATAAATATTGATCATGACAGTCGATATTCTGGTTCTAGGCTTTTTGTCAGGCTCAAAACAAGATTCATTTTTATATAGTTTATATATGCAGGCGAATGATGAAAGGAAAACATAAATAAGTTGCACAAGACCCCAGTGCGCCACCACTTTCTGTACGTAATCAAGATTGTAAATATTGGGCAAGTGACTCTTACTTGAAATGATCTTCCAAACCCTCAAATTGATGTGAAATAACCTTGCTTTGATAAATTGATGGTTTTATTCCGGCATTCTAGGGTTCAACAGTATAAAATAATAATGGGTGTTTCGCGAAAATGGGCTTCTGTCGCGATCACCTGGAAAGTTCCTCCTTTAAAAAAATTTTTAGTTGAGACCCATGACTTCACATAATAAGCTAGACTTTGTAGGCGGCACATAAACTATCAAACCGGACACTACAAGTGGATAAACTTAAACCGGGGAAGCGCACAGGCCCTTTATAAAGGGCGTGAGCCGGGCTACCCGGGAAGCGCGGAGGCCTTATATATAGGGATGACCTACCTCGATTGGGAAGTGCGCAGCTATAAAGGGCATAGACGCTGACTTTTTTTCAATGGAAAATTTCAGCTTTCCTTATTTATGGAAAATGACGTTGTAAATTACAGGTCAAAGTTATAAATAGTGACCAATGACTTTGCAAATTATCTTGACCCCGTAGAGTGTCTCTTGGCCAAAGATCGTACATAACAAAATAGTTCACTCGACCAAAAAGGTGTCGGCAGAAGTCCGCACATTGGTAAAGATGACGCTGCCGTCTTTGTTTTGAAGCTCTCTTTCGTTTCACCAGAAGAAGAATAGGAATTGCACAGTTTGTTAGTTTCACTTTTATTATATTTTCACACAAGTAGGGTAACTCTAATCGCAAAGTCCGCACTTTTTCGAAGAGAGCGCCACCGAATATTGAGGACGCTTTTTTAATTGGCTCAATTATAGAGGAGTGCACTATCTTGTTTGTACACAATCTTTGTCTTGGCCAAGATATCGATCGATAAAGTGACGCGGTCCAGCTGAGCGATTATCAAGGCCGTGAGCTATGAGGCTACGCGTACGGGAGGGCCATACGCCCACAGGCTTTTTTATTAGGTCAGGGGGGCAAATCCCCCTACGGCGAATTACAATTGTGGGGTGGGAACTACCGAAAAAGTTACCTAGATCTTACATCATCTACTATTTCCGCTTCTCCTAGCGTGGTCCTCCTAGTTTTCTAGGCTAGAATCAAGTCTCCGCCTGATAAGATGGAAGACTTTCTAGAGCAGGCATTCAAATCTTACGACAAATTTGACAGAGCTTTTGCTAAATTTAAAGATGAAAATTTTCTTGCCTTTAGGAAGAATTCATCTAAAACTAGGTAGCGTAAACACGGCCTCGCGGGCACTCGCGGCCTTCCGACCGCGTGGTATCGGTGAAATCGGGATAATTCCGATCGCTGTTTCTTTGCTCTTTCACTATAAAACACCAAGTGCCGTACACCTTGTAAAAGTTCAGCTTTTCCTCGTTACAATGGTGTAAGTTGTTTTTATGTCCGATTAATAGGAGCTGGAGAATCGCCGACGAAAGCGAAGCCCCTCGCGGTCGGAATGCGTGGTCGGCCGGTTGAAAAATTGACAAGGGTGCATTCAAATGCTTCGCGGAACGAGGAATGATTAAATACCGTCTTTTCATTGGCGGAGAACTGTGAGCTTTAAACGGGCTTTCCCGTGGTATGTGTTTTGCCTTTGGCGTCTAAATAGAAAGCTTTTAAAAATACTGTCAAAATGTTTAAAGATCACTTTTTACCCATAATATGTAAAATACCGGCTTAAAAAATATATGTAATAAAAGATCAGCTTATTTTCTATTAGATTAAAGTAATCAGCTTGGAATTATTTTTCATCAATCCTTCCGCGAGACTCAGAAAGCATGTGACCCCGCACGCGGGGTACACTACAGTATAGAGCCGACTCGCTCGCCGCGGGGCCCGGTGCGGCCCCGGCGGGGTCAACGCTCGGTGTTTTTGTCGAAATAACGACAGATCATCGTGTTTGAGGCGATAAAGTACTGATTTGTTATGATCTCACAGTCTTGAAAAAAATTAGGCTCCATATATTTGTTATAGTGATTGTACTCTGTTAATGTGGAGATGTTTAGTGCTCTTGGTACTCTTTTATTGTCTGTCAAACATGGGGTTGCAGCCAGTGACTGACTTTAACAAATTTGATCAAATTTTAAACAACTACCATTTTCTTAAAAATTGACTGAGAGGTTAAAGAATGGTACCAAAATGCTCAGTGGATATAGGCCTTTCAAATGAAACTGATAAATTTGGCATAAAACTACTTTGAAAATTTAGTTTCTGGTACCTACTAAAACTGAAACAGTTCAGAAGGCGGATTTAACCCTAGAAGCGCTCAGCCTTTCACCGGCATAACCCACCAAAAATGCACCGCCGCCATGGCCGATTGGTTATAAACATGGGGCGTTTGACGGGGGGGGATATCAGCTGAGATACCAGAGATGTATGCCTGCTACTGAAAAATGACCATTTACCGCTCAACAGATGATAAAAGATATAATATATATATAAAACCATATCTTTTCTTAAAGCTGATAGAATGAGCCATTCAGAAATGATCGCTGTAAATGCAAACAAAGCGCAAATTGGGATAAACTCAACAATTAGTACATAAGCACGCCGAAACAAGTGATAACACATAGCGTGTAGTCACTCAGCTGGACTGCGTCACTTTATCAATCGATATCTTGGCCAAGAGACGTTCTACGAGGTCAAGATAACTTGCAGTCATTGGTCACTATTTATAACTTTGACCTGTAATTTGCTTCGTCATTTTGCATGGAATACTGAAATTTTCCATTGAAAAAGGTCAGCGTCTATGCCCTTTATATAGGGTCTGCGCGCTTCCCGGTCGAAGTAGGTCAGCCCTTTATGTATAGGGCCTGAGCATTTCCCAGGTAGCCCGGCTCATGCCATTTATATAGAAGGGCCTGTGCGCTTCCAGGGTTAAAGAGTGTGGACAAAATCCATAAAGACTTTCTGAACAGTAGAGTCGAGGCAACAAATATTACAACAAAACATTAGCAGCATACCAGCATCAAAAACCAGTAGGGGCAACAACAACAACAAGAAAAGAGCTGCGACTCTCTGTTTGTTTGGTGTTTGTGTGAGTGTGTGTGTGTATTAAGGCCACAAGCGTGTGTGTGAGAGTGTATGTTACAGTGTGTGTGTGTGTATGTGTATTTGTATGTGTGTGGGAGTGTGCGTGTGTGTGTGTTTGTTTTTCATTTTTCTTTTTAAATTCTTATTTTTGTCACAGACTCATTCTGTCGCAATTAACGCCGCATTAATTGTCACAGAGTCAGTCTGTCGCAATTAAGCGTGATATTTGTCACAGCGTTACTCTGTCGCAATTAATGCTACCTTTTCCATTTGTTGCACAATGCAGTGGAATCAGGCTCTCGTCATTTTTTGGGCATACGGAGTTGATGGTGTCAACTTAAGGCCTGTACATTTTCCTTGTTTTTGGTGAAAATAATATTCATCTATGTTGAAGAGAAGTCGAGACATGTGTAATTGAAGGAGGTGAGAGTCTTCTGGTTTCAGAGGTAAAATTAACAAGAAAATGGCCGCCAAAGTTGAGTTATTTTCTTTAGCTTTTAAAGAGTCCGTGGAAACTAAAAATTTACATTTCTTCTGCCTCTAATCAACGTTTTTCAGTAAAATCCACCCAGAAATGTGCTCTAAATGTGCATGAAAGGTGTTGAACCAAAAAACAAAAATTCAATAAAAATTCTCAAACCTGCAGGAGACAATTTCTTGACTTTCATTATTTTGACGAGCGCCTGATTTCACCACGCTGACTCACATTTGATGTTTTTTTACAATAATTTTGTGAGCTTTTCTTGAAAATAGGCCTATTTGATCTTGATTTTGCTGAAGTTTTAGTAGAATTTAGATCTAGATCTAGCAAAAAATACTGCGGTTTGACCCCCAAAACAGTATCTATGTGCGGAGTGAAAGTTAAAATTTACGGAAGGAGTTCCCCAGCTAGATACGTACTTAGTATTCTGATTGTAACTCAATATAAACACAGAGCAAAGTAAACACACCTGCTCACCACTTAATAGCGCCCACACTATACTTCAATGATTGTGGATGTGTTTGTTTTTCGTCATGTTCGTTGAGCGATTTGAATTCAAGAATATTGTGAGGGAAATATTGGCTGGGCTGTTGCGAGGTGAGCTGTAGGACACATTTCATTTTTCAGAAGGTGTTTGAAAAAACAGTGTTGCTAATACAAAGAAAATCAAGCAGCTCAATTGGTGAATGGCATTGTTTGAGCTATCTGTGAATTAGAATCTATAGCACGTTTGAGTTGTCTGTGCTTAACTGTATGTATGGCTGTCGCCGTGGTTTTATGCACCCCGCATAATTTAGCAAAATTTGATCATTTTTCGCATAATTTCTTATTTTTTTCCTTTATCATTCTTTGTTAAAATTAACAGAATCGCATCATTTCACATTTTTGGGCTCAGTTTGCATAATTTCATAATTTTTTTTGCATAAAACAATGGGGACAGATATGGGCTGCAGATTCAACAGTGAATTATAACTGAAAAAATGTATTTCAAATTTAACTGGGTGCATGCTTTTTTAAAGAATCAAATGTGTATTTTTATTACCTTGTCTTTCACATGTGAACATAAACCCAAGCAAATACATATATATATGCAAAATTTTCAGATAATCAAAACAAAGTGATATTAATATTATGTTCTTGTCCACTGAAAGTTAACACCCAGATCTTTGATTTAGTTCTAGGAAATTATGACAGTTGTTTATGTTTGGTAGTGGTTTGTCAGACAATGAGGAAATTTGTTTACTCATTCTTTCAAAATTGAATGTGTGCAGTTATGACCCATCAGTTCATGAAGTTGTTGTTTTTCAAAATCCATTTCTTTCTTTTTTTTTGCCTGTAGTAAAAATTGTGTTTCAACATGAAAATCGTGTACAGATATATCGTAAAATGTTTTATTTAGAACGTAATAAAAGATAGTAACTAAAACATCTTCCCCTGTCTCTCTCTCTCTCTCTCTCTCTCTCTCTCTCTCTCTCTCTCTCTCTCTCTCTCTCTCTCTCTCTCTCTTTCTCTCTCTCTCCCCCCCCCCCTCTTTGGTTGTTAAAAGGTGCCACAGGTGGGCCCTACTTCTTTTCTTTCCCTCTGTAGTTTCTGTGCATGTATTATTACACTTTCTCCCAACATTTAACTAAATTACCATAGATATAGTGTGCTTCTCTTCATTCAAGTAAATCACAGCCCCTTCCCTCCCCTCCCCTTTCTCTCTCTCCCTATCTGTCTTGATAGTTTGTTGATATTGATATTTCTCTCTGCCACTCACAGTGCACCTGATGGGACTGGCATTCGGTCGGTCTGGGTGGGAAATTGGGTAGTTGGTGGAGTCGGCGGACTTGGTACTGTCTCTGATTATGACTTTAGACTTATGATTTTGTAAAATAAAACAGTTCCATGTACACAATCTTTACTTTAGAATTATTTGAGTTACATTCGTGCTATATTTACTTCAGTAACATGTACTTAGGTCACTTTCTACTACCTTCCTCAGTTTCGAAAATATGCACTTGTATAAATCTACTCACACAGAATTTTGACCTTTACTCTACCAACTCTGCGCGTTGGTCTGGCAAGATTTTGTTCTTTTTCTTCCATGCCCTCTGTGCATGCTTATGTACATGTTAGCTGTGTTGTTTGTCTTTTGCAGGCGAAATGTTATGCCACGTTTGAGAGTGACAAGCCAAACTTCCCTGGTTCCAGGTCAGAGTTTGTGTCGAAACCAGAATTTTTGGACCCAGACTCTGTGGAAGGGATCCCAGTGTACCGGGCTCTGAATCATGATGGAACGTTCATTGATGAGTCTCAGGACCCTAAGGTCAGTTATTGTGTGGGGTTTTTTGGGGGGGAGGGGAGGGGGGGTGGGGGTTTTCCTCTTTTTTTAGTTCTGTGTATAATGGCTATTTTTGCATTCCTCTCTTTAGCTCTCCTAACCCCTTCGTGGCGTATGGTTTTTCTAAGTTTTAGTGCCCCCAATTTGTGCTAGCCAGGACGTTCAAAGCTATTGTAGTACAGTTATAGAATCCCCCACGGTGTACGAAGTAAGGTCCACGCAATCACTGTTATCGGCTGATTTTAGGGCGTACATTGTACAGGAGGACGGCGTCTTGGCACACAATGTTGGACGTACAGTGTACAGGAGCTGTCACGAAGGGCTTAAGGAGATGACTAGCATCTGTGGTACAGTTATTATACTCTTCACTGTTGTACGCACAAGGCGGGAGTTTTTAGTTTTTTTAGTTTTTGTAAGAGTTTTACGGCACTTGCAACACAATAAGGTCGTATAAGTGCCGAAGATTAGAGGTGTTACAAGAGAGTAACAAACACAAAAAAGGAGGAGGGGAGATAAAGACGATAGATGTTTGATAGGAAAGAAGGAGCAAACCACACCAGAGCACCCGCCAACCACCCACAGGTGGGAGTTTGATTCCCATGTAGGGAAGTTGTATTGTTAAGTGAGTGTCTCCACCTGTCTGCTGGGATGTTGTATCTGACTCAAGCCTGGTTTAGCCTTGACAGGCAGTAATAATAATAATAAATAGCATTTGTATAGCGCATATCCCCGCTCAACAGCAGGCTCTATGCGCTTTACACTATATTATTAACCCAGCAGACCATAGAACACTCCGAAACATTCTCAGCTTCCGGGGAAGCATACAGTGCAAGCAACTGATTAAGCACTCAAACACTAACAAACTGACAAGATCTTTCGCTGTCTATAGCCGGCTACCCATTCCCACCTGGGTGAAGTGAGGAAAATTCGTGTAAAGTGCCTTTCCTAAGGACACAATGTCGGGCCCCTGGTGGGATTCGAACCCATGACCTTACGGTTGCGAGTCCAAGAGCCTAACCACTAGGCCACCGACGCCACAGTAGGCAGAGTTGAAGCTGCCCACCACCTAAAATGATTTAACTTGTGTTGATGAGGCCCTAGAGTTCAAGTGAACATAGTCTGTGAGCATCCCTCCGCAAAGGAGGTATGAGCAGTGAAGGTGTCTCTTGATTTTCTCACCTGTAGAAATTTGAGCTCAGAATACTGGAGTATTGCTTCTGCCTGACCATCTTACTTGCAGTTTCCAGCAACTGTTTGAACTGGGTTATGTGTAATCTTGTATTATGTTGGTGTTTAAAATAATTGTGCAGCATTAGAATAAATTCCAGCAACTGTTTGAACTGGGTTATGTATAATCTTGTATTATGTTGGTGTTTAAAATAATTGTGCAGCATTAGAATAAATCAACAGGTAGTATGTTTTTTTTTTCAGGGGTGTGAAGTCTTTGGGGGCTCTGGTCTATGATTGTAAATAAACACTGCTGCACAACTTGAGATGGCTGCTGCACAGTTTTGTTACATGTTACATCGTAATAGCATCATCTTCACTCGGTGCATTCAGGGAATAGAAAAGAAGAAGTCTCCCTCCCCCCCCCAAAAAAAAAACAGGAGAGAAAAACCAACAACAAAACAACCACTTGTGTGCATTTTAGTGTATTCCCCCTTACACTATTTTTCATTTGTCATTGTGGTCATGATGCGGTGGAATCAGGCGCTGGTCAATTTTTGGGCATGTGGAGTTATTGGTGTCATCTGAAAGCTGATTTTTTTTTGTCCTGCATCCAATGAAATAAATACCCATTTATCTTGGATAGAACTTAAGATATTTGTGATTGAAGGAAGTGAGGTCACCTGGTTTCAGTGGTGAAATTAACGAGAAAATAGCAGCCAAAGTTTGGTAACTCCAATAGCTAAAGAGTCTTTGAAAACTGAAAAAGGACATATTTTGTGCCTTTAATCAATGTTTCAAAGTAAAATTCACATGGACGTGTGTTTTTATATGGACGTTAAAGAGGTTACGTCCAAAAAAACACTTTCGATAAAACTTTTCAAACTGACAGAAAAATGCCTGTTTCTCTGATTTTGTTATTTTGACGAGCGCCTGATTTCGCCTCGCTGCCTCACATTTGTTAATGGGGTGTTTTTTTTGCTTGTGTGTACAGTTGGACGAGGCAACGGTGATCAAGATGTACAAGGACATGACCCTGCTGAACACGATGGACCGTGTCCTGTACGACTCGCAGCGACAGGGCCGGATCTCCTTCTACATGACCAACTACGGGGAGGAAGGCGCACACATCGGGTCAGCCGCCGCCCTTGACCCCGGCGACCTCATCTTTGGACAGTACAGGGAGGCAGGTCAGTGGGAATGTCTCGTTGTGGTGGTGCAGAATCATCAACAGGTTATCCGCTTTGAGGATCTGTGCAGTTTTGAGGATCTTAGTACCAGCATCTGCGGTGTTATGGTTAAGTTCTTCAAGGTCGTACACAGAGGTCATGAGTTCAGTTTGTTGGCGACGTTGTTTTACAATCAAGTACCCCAGTCTGTCTGTCTGATGGGATGACCTTGGGTTGGCTCTACCAGGCAGTGTTGAAGCAGCTTGCTTCCGAAATGATCTTAACTGTGGGTATGGGATGTTTAAAACATCACAGTTGTAACTTCTCCATCGTTAAGATTTATAATGTGGGTAACAAAGTGAACACTTGAAGAGAATGTCTTTCCTTCTCCAAGCTCCAGCTAGGCCAGTGCATAAACCCCACAATTAGCCATGTATTTATTGAAACATTTACGTAAATCCATCAGTAAGGGAATGGGTTTAGGGATATTTTTTTTATTTTATTGAGACGATATCACTTGATAGACTCGGATGCCGGACTGTAATCGTCAGACTTTGGGGGAATGTGTGAGATTGTGTTTTTTCCTTTTATCTCTCACAACATGACCACTTTGCAGGGACCTATCTGCTGAAAAAGAGCTCAGGCTTAAAGTTCCCCCATTCATTTGATATATACAATGGAGTCCGTTTAAACCAAAAAAGGCTTAATGGAAAATCAGCAGTAAACCAAAGGAAAATAGTGTTCCCTAATTTTTTCTTTGCTATTTGAGCAGTCTGTATAAATTGAAAACAAGGCTAGATGAAGGAAATCTGCCTGTAGATTTTGGTTTAAGTAGACTCCACTGAATCCATTTTTGGGGGTCAGCTGGTTTTGAAGTTTCCAGAATAATCTCACATAGTGGGCCAGAAAAATTGCAATTGTGTCCAGATTAATCCAAACACATTTTAGGCACTGTGTATTTTTCACACAAGCTGTGCAGAAAAGTGGCCCAATGTTGTTAGTGTGTTTGATATTTGGATATGATGATTTTATTACCCCTTGGATGTCACTCTTTGACTTACGCCCCTGAACGCGGCATATAAATTGCCCATTAGCGTCATGGGAGCAGACTCCCACCTGGTGCCATGACGCTGTTGCCAGGCATGAGGGTGTGGGTTCGTCAGCCGGCACAGCTGTGCTTGCTCTGTGGGTCCGGTGAAATAATGATGCTCATGGGTGCATTTTATGAGGAAGGTGACCCTTACTGCAAATGTGTACTCTGACTGACTGACTGACTTTGTAACAAATGATGCTGTGTGTTTGTGTGTGTGCCTGTACATGTGTGTTATATGTGTATGTGTGTGTTCTTCTGGCTCAGCCTGGTCATTGTCATTTTCTTTGCCTGTGTGGACTACTCCGTCTAGCCTCATTGTCATTTATGTGTGTCAGTGTGTGAATCTATTATCTATTTGTGGTGGCCGAATTTTGCTATTCAAAAGGCTTTTTAATGGCAGCATCGATCGACATGCGGTTTTCGCCAAAAAATTCTTTAAAATATTCTCCAGATCATGGCGCCTTTGGTTTTTTTCAGTTATGAGACAGTTTTGCTGCAAAAAGCTAAATTTCTTTATTTCGCCGATCGCTTTTGTAGGCCGACGCTTCTGTCTCTGTAATTTTAGAAAATCCGGAAGTGATAATTCGCGAGGCGCATTTTGTTTTGAGAGTATAGATCTAGACCTAATTTTTTACATCTCTCAAGATTTATTTCCCCATTCCAGTAGAGTGTAAATATATTAGGCCAATGACTTTCAGCTTATATTAAAGCACCGATCATCCCTTTCATCGAAAGTGGGCCCAGCTAGTGTATTATATATGTGTCTGTGTCTGTCTCCATGGCAAGGAGACTTTTTTCCTGAAAATGTTTGGCATATTTGAAGAATCCACCTGTGTTTGTTATATGTGTGAAATTGAGTCCACCAATAAGCGAGATAACCCTCAGCTGCCGCCGGTTTAGATTCTCATTGATGTAATGCATGAATAAACGGTAATGAGAATCAATGGTTTGTAATTTATGCAAAGTGGTGTCAATCGTTCTCACGAGTGGCTAGTCACTGATATCTTGTGTGGCTAGTGTGTAATACAAATTCTGCGAGTGGTTGGTGGCTACTCTGGTGTGGTCAGATCCTTCTCCTTTATGAGCATTGAACTTTTACAGAATGGAAATGCACTCAATGAATCCAAATCATTATTGTTATTATCATAGTATAGTATGATTATTGTCATTGTGAATGACTTGTTGGTCATATTGTTGTATGTTCGTGATGAAATGTGGCCATCACTGTTGTGCTGACTCGCCTCAAAAACTTAATCTCAGTTGACTGTACATTGTGGGTGGTTGGCGGGTGCTCTGGTGTGGTTTGCTTCTTCTTTCCTATGAAACATCTATCGTCCTTATCTCCCCTTCTTCTTTTTTATGTTTGTTACTCTCTTGTAACACCTCAAATCCTCTGGCGCTCATATGACCTTATTCAGTTGCGAACGCCGTAAAACCTCTACTAAAACTAAAAAGACTGTACATTGTTATGTGTCATTAATATGACCTGTGGTTCGATATCTTTGCCTGGTTGCATGTATGGGTGGTTGGCAGGAGCTCTGGTGTGGTTTGCTCCTTATTTCCTATCAAAGATCTGTCATCTATCATCTTTACCACGCCTCTTTCTTTACTCTGTATGTTAGTCTTGTGAAACCTTGAATTCTTTGCACTTACATACATGACCTAATTGTGTTGCAAGTGCCATAAAACTCATCATACTAAAACTAAAATAACTGGTCGTGTGTGGCTAGTCACTTGTTGTAAATTGTTAGTTACGGATGGTTGGAGGGTTCCAGTAGTAGGTCCTTCTTCTTTGCTATCCCTTTTGTGTTTCTGTATATCTCTGTCTGTCTGTCTTGCAACATTAAGCGTGTGATAAGCAAGTAGATGTGTGTGTGTGTGCGTGTGTGTGTGCGTGTGTGTTTGGCGTACATGTGTGTGCACATGTGTGCGTGAGTGTGTGTGTGTATGAGTGTGTATGTGCGTGTGTGTGTCGCGTGCGTGAGTATTGTTCGTACATGCATTTATGTAAAGCGCCTAGAGCTGTGTTTACACCGGAATGGGTGCTATAGAAATGATCTTCATTATTATTATTATTATTATTAAGTCAGTGAATCATTAAAATTTCAATGATGCTTTCACTTTATTTTGGACATTCCCCTCTCCAACCTTTGCTTTGTGGGGCTCAACAAAATGTTAATCTTTTCTTACTCAAGCCACCCTACGGGGCAGTGCCACTGACTGTAGTGTCTTTAAAATAGGCCATTCCCAAAAGGCGGACATTTCTCATTCAAGCACAGTAGAATTGTGAATGGGCTGATTCATCAATATCATGCTCATAACTGCACCTGAACTGCAATGGGGAACTGCTGCTTTTTCTTTCCTAATCCTTTCAATCGTCATTCTCCCTCTACTTCTTTTGTTTGTTTGTTACACTCTTGTGACCCGCTATTTCCGGGGTGCATTGATAATCAAAGCAGACTTTGTGCTGTTGAAGCTAGAGAGGTGTTCAGAGTAAGCCTGATTCCCTGTATGGACTTCTCTTTTGACATTCACCCCTTGGCGCTCATATGACCTTATGCAGTTGCGAGCACCGTAAAAATCTACTAAAATTAAATCAAACCATATTCCTGTCTGTCCTGTCCAGGTGTACTGATGTGGCGAGGCTTCCCCTTGCAGCAGTTCATGAACCAGTGCTACGGCAACGACAAGGACTGGGGCAAAGGCCGGCAGATGCCCGTCCACTACGGGTCAAAGGAGCACAACTTTGTTACCATCTCCTCCACCCTGGCCACACAGATGCCCCAAGGTACGTCTTGCTATCATCGCTGGCCAACTCTACCCGTGCGTGTGCGTCGGCACTCATTTTGAGAAATGTGGGAAAAAAATGTAATGTCTTTTTTTTATCATCTTCCAGAATTATTGATAATTTTTGTGGAGTGTGATCTGTTTACACCATAGAGTGTATCGCCGAATGTGATTACATTAGTGAATAACCTAATTTGAGACCAAACAACTATTTGACCTAACTTGGTGGATACATACATGCCAGTGGTAGGTGTCAATTTGTTGCTATGCCTCTACAGCTTGTACCTGTCTATCTCTTGCTTTTTCCAAACACTAAATGACTGTTGTCATGTGGATGTGCTTCTGTTAACTTGAATAATAAAACATGATCTAGACTTCATAGTGCACTTAATTATCAAATGCTTTTGAGAAGCCTAAAAGTGATGGGGTTCTGTCCTGGTTTTTTCCCTAAATAATTAAAGAAACATGCGATCTTACCTGGGTAAGTGAAGCTTGTTTCTGATTTTGTCGAGTAAGTCATCAGGAGCTGAGTGGGAAGATGAGAAGGCCTGCGTTTCGCGCCGCTAGTCACACTTAAAGCATGGAATGCTTTTGACATTTTCTCAAATTAAAGCATGGAATGCTTTTGACTTTGTCTCAAAGGGAGGGAAAGGGTGGGCATCTTCCCACTCAGCTCCTGATGACTTACTCGACAAAATCAGAAACAAGCTTCACTTACCCAGGTAAGATCGCATGTTTCTTTAATTTTATCTCGCAAGCCATCAGGGCTTCGAGGTAAGATGAGACTTTAGAGCCAGAATGTGACTATCGAGTCGCTAAACCGAATTAGGACAACTGCCTTTCAAGCAAAGCCAAGAGAACATTGTCACATAATAAGAATAATATGTTTGTAAAACAATTTAAAATCATCATGAGTGTTTATTTGCTGTTTAGCTTATAATCCAAATAACATTTTGAATATATGAGTAAAGAATTTTCTTTCAAGATGATATGTGGTGACATAGTGATGATATCTGCATGCGTAATATGCAGAACACTTAACTGCAATAAATCATATGCATGCGGAATAAAGTTAAAAGAAAAAATGACATGCAATGTCCAGTCCATTTATACAAATCAGTAACACTGAAAATAGTAAAACATTTTCCAACTCCATGAATTGTGTTGAGATAGTGGTAAGAGGTATAGACATGTAATGTCAAATTGTTTCTTAATTAAATGGAATTATTTTACTCCATGTTGCATAAGTAAAGAGTTTTCTTCCACCGAACAAGTGATGAGATAAAGATACCGTACGTATAAAGTTGACATGTAATGTCCAATCCATCAGTGTAATAATCAGTTTCATGCTGCATGAAATAAAGAAACCTTGACCTCCCTGATTTGTGATGAGATAATTATACACAAATAAGGCGCATGTACTGTCCACCAACTAATGCAATGTAAACATGAGCCATTCAAATAAAGTAAACATCCTTCAACTTTATGAATTGCAGTGACAATATTATACACAGCATAGACTTGTAAAGTCCAACTGCTCAATGCAATAGATCAGTTTTAGTCTGCATGAAGGAAAGACTCCTTTTCCCACCATGCCTTGTCATGGGATGATAATATGTACAGAGTGGTGACCTGTAACGGCCAATGAACCAAAGCAAAACCGTAGTACGGTGATTAACATACAGAATATTTCAATCCTTGACAAGTTTTGTAATAATGATGTCAGTATAATACATGTATAGATATTGATATATATTGTCCGATCAATAAATGCAATAAGTCATGTGGATTTTGAAAAGTATGTGTCTAGCAGACGTTGTCCGAAGTTGTGTTTTACTTGCTTTTTGTAAAATCGAGTAAAGGTACTCTCTTGCGTCCAGCCTGCTGCCTCTAAAATTGTAGTGAGTGGGACACCTGCTTCAGAGGCAGCTGATGTGCTCGCAGAGCGAGTGCTATGCGCAGAGAATGCAATGTCAATACCTGCCAGGTCCAGAACAGATTTAATCCATCTGCATAATGTGTCCTTACTTATGGGCAAGTGTGGCCTTTTGAAACTGATCAGGAGACGACTTGTGTTGTTGTGTTTCCTATGCTCTCCTGTCATGTTCAAATACACAGTCAGGATTTCTACGATGCAAAGCTGTGGGCAATTTTCAAATGCCAAAAATTCTAGAGGCTTCTGGTGACAACCCTTGCGAGAATGCTTCAACAGATTTGAAATGAAAAATGTACATTTGTTTGATGTCAAAGTCATGTAGTTAGTGTCTAATTTATACAAAGTTTGACACCTTTGTCCACACAGGAGGGCCAACAACATGGCGAGCTTTAAAGACAGTTCTTTTAAAGTGAGGCTTTCATGGGGGTACCATGTTTCTAGAAAAGAAAGTACTGTGTTTACATCCCAAGTGGCTACTCTGCTTTTTAGAGGCAGACTAGGTCTAGACTCAAAAGCTCCTTTCATAAATCTCCTAACTTGAGGCAGGTTACCAAAAGATTCTGAACAATTTTCCACATTGATATAACATGCCAGGGCAGACCTTGCAATGCATAAAGCAGAGTACGATTTCCCTTCCGTGACTAATGTAGCAAGGAAATTGAGCGCTACGTTTAATGGCGGTGAAATTGAATCCACTTGTTGGAGGACCGCGTACCGCTTCCAGTCTTCAATGTATCGGTGATACGCCTTCTTTGTTTCATTTCGCCATGAGGACATGAGAAGGTCGGTTGCAGCTCCAGAAAGGCCTTCACTTTCGAATTTTTCCCTGACACTTTGCATATTAGCAAGCGAAGCTTTTTGTGTAAAGGATGTTTCTGGTCCGGACTGCTTGGTAGATGGAGCAAATTTTCTCTTGCAGATAGAAGGACTGGCTTTTCGACGAGGATTTGCATCAGAAGAGGGAAAAAAGGCTGTGTGGGCCAGCATGGTGCCACGATGATCCCGTCTGCTTCGTCCTTCTTCACCTTTTGTATGACTCTGGATATGAGAGAGAAAGGTGGAAAAGCATACCATTTTAAACCCTTCCAGTTCATTGTAAAAGCATCGAGCGATAAAGCATCGGGATCTGCTCTGTAGGATACGTATTTTGGAAATTGTTTGTTAAGCCGGGAGGTAAAAAGATCAATGTCTGGTTTGAATTGTAGCACTGAAAGTGAAGATTTCAATAGAGATGCGCTCAACATCCATTCTGTGTCAATGTTGATTGTTCTACTTTCTTTGTCCGCATCTACATTATCTTTCCCAGCTGTTCTTGCTGCTGATAACCACAAGTTTTTATTTTCACACCATGCCCAGACTTTCTTTGATAAATTATCTAGTGAGAGGGATTTGGAGGATCCCATTTTGTTCAAACAAGCCATGGTTGCGGTATTGTCAACAAAGATTCTGATGACTGCGTTTTTTAGCCCTTTGGAAAAGGATCTTCAAGCCAAGAAAGCAGCTAATAGTTCTAATTCATTGATGTGCAGTTCTTTCTCTTCTACTGTCCACGCCCCCCCCCCCCCTGTTTTCTCATTTCCGCACACAGCGCCCCACGCAAAGAGACTCGCGTCACTGAAAATTACTAGGTCCGGATCAGGGTGAGAAATCGGGGAAACACTAGACAATCCGTGCCGGTACCACCACTTAACTTCTTCCAGTGCCGTTCTCGACAACTGCATCACACTATCCCAATTTCCTCTAGTTTTCTTAATTGCCTGCACCTTTTCCCTTTCTAGGCATCTGTAGTGGGCGGGGCCAAACGGCACCGCGGGGAAACATGATACCAGTAAGCTGATTAGACGAGCTACTTCTCGTACGGAATGGGCTGACCTTCGTAAGAATACCCTGCAATGACTTTCTACTCGTTCCCTTTTTTCTTTTGACAGATAAACGGTCATTGTGACTGAGTCAATTTCGAACCCCAGATATATAATTCTCTGAGAGGGTTTGAATGACGATTTGTGTGGGTGAACCACAAAACCCAGCCGATTAAATAGGGAAACTGTATCTGACACATTCTTCTCACATTCTTTTTCGGTGTTTCCCACGAGCAATGAATCGTCGAGATAACTCGAACTGACATGACCGATACTATGAAGATGGGAAAATATGGGTTTGGTAAGCTTTGTGAAGTTGCGGGGCGCTTGAGCCAAGCCGTTAGGGTAACAAGTAAATTTAAACAGTTTGTCTTTCCATTTGAATTTCAAGAATTTTTGATGTTCTGCTGCTATGGGGACACTGTAGTAAGCCGAAACTAAATCAATGCTAGCCATAAAACAGCCTGGACTAAGCAGGGTGAGCGCAGACTTTAGGGTTTCCATTTTGAATTTTTTGTAAACTAAGCTCTTGTTCAATTTTTTCAAATTCAGAATCACCCGGAAGGTACCATCTTGTTTTTCTCTCGTAAAGATGCCAGAGACAACTTCACCTTGTCCGTGCAATGTTTCAACTATAACTTTCTTGTGTAAAAGGTTCGATATTTCTTTGTCTATAGCTGTCATTTCCTCTTGAGTAAAGGAAATGCTCTAATCAGTGCAATAATATGGTTGTGCACTTTCACAGCTAAAGTCAATTTTTGTTCCTTGTACCATTTCAAGGATCTGGGAGTCAGATGTCAGTGTCCGCCATTCTGATATCTTGTCTTTGATCTGACCTGCTTGGAAAGCATTCATTTCTTCTACGAGACAGTCTATTGCTACAGAGCTGTTGTCGTTCATGACCTTTTCGCTTACCTGAGGGTTTTCTTCCACTATTTTTGCTTCTTGCGGAACTGTTGTCCCATCTGTCGAAAAGGGCGTTTTTGGAACTGGCGACCCTTTTGTTGTTTTTGCCCGAAGGGCTTCTGTCTTCCTAAAAAAGACTTGCCTTTGTTAAATGGTTTTGCAGTGTAACTGCTTTTTTCTGTGAGGCTGGAAGCCAATCGCTTTTCTTCTTTCGCTTCTCGGAGAGTTTTCTTTACATCCTCTCCGTAAAGCAGTTTGCTGCTTCCTGCCTCAACATCACACACTCCTTTGTAATCATGT